GTGACCCCGCTCTCGGGTCGAATTTTCGGGGTGCCAGATCCAGAAGCATCGTCGTGATCCTCATCCTCAGCCGCACCATTCCTTTCGCTTCCCTTCCTCTTCCTTTCCTCTTCCCTCATGCATCCTCCGCTGTTTTTGATTTGTTCAGTAAACCTCTGTTCCTCTTGCTTCTGCCTTCATCCTTCTCGTCCTTTCTTCTTACTCCTCCTTACTCGCCACCTCTTTCGTACGGCGGATCAGGTCCTCCTCGAATGTCCCTTGGGCCTTTGGGAGCCATCGGTTAGGCCTCTCGTGGGCCGTTTGGAGGTCTCCTGGAGGCCTCCCAGAAGCCTCTTCTTAGGTGCCTACTGGGGCCCTCTTGGGGTCCTTTTGGAGGGCGGCCTCTGGGGCCGTCTTGCGGCCCTCTTGGGCCGTTCCGGAGATGGTTTTTCTTTCCAACCCTCCTGTGTGTTGGGTCCTCGTTTTGAATCCGCAGCGCCGCGCGTCTTATTTTTTTGTCGTTGCGCGATCTCGAGCCGATGTGCTGTAGCTTTCTGTGAGACGGGAAGAGGTACTTGCCGGCTTAGCATAGCGCGACACATTCATCGTGGTAAGCGAAGCAGATAAATAATGCGGCAGCGCGACACATTAAGCGTGGCAGCGCAGCGAGAGACAAGGGTAAATCATGTAGGTCCAATGATGCAATTACGCGCTGACGCGGTGCAGGTTGGAGTGGAGAAGACCGAACGAATAGTCAATAGGAGCCGGAGAACATCGTAAAGTAATCGGGGAGGAACCGAATAGAGAGACCGAATTACGCGCGCACGATACTGTGCTGATTAGTGCTGGCCTGCATAGTGATCTGCTTATGCTCCCACGGGTCTAAGCCACAGGGAGATGCTAGGCAATTGTAAAGCTGATACCTTGTGTGTCAGCTCAGATACTGTCACAGTAGGGCAAGGGTATTCTGCGAACCTTTAGGTGTGCAGCCAGGTGCAGGTACAGAACAGGAGCAAGCAGCGGACGCAGGTACAGCTGGAAAGCGGCTGTATGCGACTTGCGCGACAACTGATTTGTGAGCTGGGGGAGTGCATCTAGCACTCGGCGTTCCACAGTTGTGCGGACTCCCCGAGGCGCTCCCCTCTCCCACCCGCTAAGATCCCCCCCCTCCCAACCCTGCCCCCCCCCCCCCCCGTTGAGTCATGAGTCATACTCAGCATCCCAGATGCAGGCGACGGCTGAGGGCGGCAAGCAGGAATGAGGCGCTGCGATGCTTGCCAGATCCAAATTGGCCAGCCTGTGTCGTCATCCGTTTTGATGCTGGTGCATTTGCTGGCTCAGGCAGTGCTGGCTGGCCAAGATGTCTGGAGCAGCCGAGTGAGTATTGGTACGATCTTCCTCCCCCTCCTCTGATCGTTCCCCCCCAACCCCGATCCTCCCAGAGAGTCAGATACAGATCCTGGGAGGATGCGACGGCTGAAGATGGTAAAGACAGAAAGCTAGACATGAGGCTCTGCGAGGCTTGCAAGGTAAAACAATGGCTGGCCTGTGCCGTCAATCTCTTCTGCTGGTGGCTGGTTTAGGTAGTGCTGGCTGGCCATAGCTGTGTGGAGCAGCCGAGTAAGTGCTGGTACGAACTCTGTAATGCATGTAGTGCTCAGTATGCTGCTGGGTGCTGCGTGTCTGGCAACTGAAAGGCGGCGGGGCCACACCCTGTAGTCCAGGGGGGCCCGATATACTGCTGGATGCTCCTCATCCCCCCAAGTAATCGTCCCAACCTCCAACCCCTCACAGCAGAGTCAATTGAACATCCAGGAGCAGGCGATGGCTACAAGAGTGTGAAGGTGGTTGTGAGCGCTGCGAGGCTTGCCAGGTTAAAGTTGGCTTGTCTGTGTCTAGTCGATCTGTCTTGATCGCCGCGCCCCCCTCCTACCCAACCTCATCGCCCCTCTTCAGCAGAGTCAGTAAGATAATCCAGAAGCAGGTGATGGTAAACACGTGAAGGTAGCGATGAAGCACTGCGAGGCTTGCCAGGTGAAGTTGGTTGGCCTGTGTCATGTCATCTGTTCTGATCTCCATGGCCCATCCCCCAAGGCCTAACGACCATACCCCCTATCCCCGTAAATGGCACATTAAAGTGGCTGGCCTGTATTGTAGTTGTATGTACAGGTGATGGTAAATAACAGCTAGCGAGATGTGTGGTCTAGGAGAGAAGGCACAGTGACACGTGCCCGCTGCAATTCTTGGGCTGCTACCTAGGGCTTTGTCGGTTCACTGCCAGCCTCCTCGGTATCGGCACCCGCGTGCTTTGTGTATGGTCTTGTCTCAGGTTAAGCACGAGCCCCGTCGTCCTGTTAGACAGGTGAGACGCACAAGAAAGGTGAACCATAGAAACAGACGGTGGGAATGCGTGCTCTGCAATAGCTTGCCAGATCGGCAAATAAACAGTCCAGTTGCATATCCTCACCCACCCCCCTAACATGTGAAATGGACCCACACAGCAGAACGCGAGGGAGCAAAGTCAAAGAGCGCAGTGTGCAAGCACTTGTGGGCTGAGGTGAGGATGGCAGCTCGTCAGAACTCTAAGTATAGGGTGTAATTAACGAAACAGGTAGCCGTCGTGTGCGATATGAGGTCGTAGACTAGCCCCAGTATGGCGCATTACTTGATAGGTATGTCGGGAACTTGGGCTTAGGCGTCGGTAGTGCTTTGTGCTCTGGTGTTGGGAGCTTGGGCTTAGGCGTGGGTGGTGCCTTAGGCGCTTGTGTTATCTTTTTGTGCTGCCGAGTCTCTCGGAGCTGTAGGTTGCGTATGTGTACTTCTTCTAAGTACTCCTGATATGGCTGCTGATGGTCGCGAATTGTGACTATGTAGTGTAGTAGTTGCTGGTCGTTAGCGTCGTCAACGTTTTGCGTTCCAGTGAAGCTGTCGTGTGTTGGTCTGTGCGTAGAACCAGTTGGTCCGTCTAGCATGGCAGGCGGAGCCTTCGGTGTGAAATAGGCTCTGCCAGTCGCTTGTCTCTGTAGTGCGCGTACGTCTGGTGGAATGCCAGCCAGCCAGTGGTATTGTGCGGCTTTTGCACTGGGCGGTGGGCAGATCACAGGGACCTAGAGAAACGGTGGCGGTGGTGGGTGTATTGGGCTGCTGGTCACCCTGTTGTTTGCAGAGGCGATCTGTGGTGTCGGCGTCATCGTGTCGACTGTGCGCTGTTTAGTCGGAGGCGTGGCTGTTGGTTGAGTCGCTCGTGTATCTTGGAGTGTAGGTGGTGATGTGGAGTCGGAGTAACCAATGCTGGCGTACACGCTCGTTGCTGATGCAGCGTCAATGTGTACGTCGTACGTCGTTTCGACCGCTGATCCTCTCGTAGTAGATGTGCCGTGTCGCGTAGGTTGATTGCCCAACCATCCTTTTGGTAAGGATGGAGCCACTGTGAGACCGTCATGGCAGCCTTCGTAGTTCTGGAGTCCAGTGCTGTCGTGGGGGTGTTGAGCTTGTTTTGGATGTTCTGATTGAGCAATGCTACTGCCAGTCGGAACTTCGAGTCTTAATTGTAGAAAGCTTCACGTCGTCGAGTGCTGCACCTAGAATAGCCTTGGCGCGTGTGTCAGCCTGGTACGTGATGGTGGTAAGTACATGTCAGCGTGAACGGCGCTCTAGGGCACCAAGTGTGTGGTATGCTCTGTTGATGGGAGTTGGTAGTGTGAGAGTAGTGTTGTTGTCATGTCTGGCTTTAGTGGTGGGTGTGGCAACACATACGGGTAGGAGTTGCTGACGAAGCATTCGCGGTTGTATTTGTCGAGGTATCTATTCCATGAGCCCAGTGCCCTCATCGTTGTAGTAGGTGACATAGTGCCAGCTATCTTCATCCCAATGATCTTCCATTGATCAGTATGCTTTCCACCCTGTTGGACACTGCATGTCATATCCTGGGTGTGGAGGTAGGGATTCCAACGTGCAGGGTTTGGGAACGTATCTGACGTTGTCGATGTCGCTCTCGTCGCCGCTCTCGTTGTCGTCGTGGTGTGGTGCTATCATTTGTTGTGAGTTGTCGTCGTTGGCGGTGGGTTGGCTTGATGAAGGGGTGTCCAGTTATTGCTTGGTGCTGGCGCTGGTGGAGTCGCTTTGGTTGTAGCAGGTGGTGTAGCTGTGGAATTTGCTGGCGGCGGCATATTAAGTCTGGGGTTGGAGTAGGTTGAGGTGGTGCAGATGGTGCGTAGGGTCGGTCGGAGTGGCCCTGTGGTGGCTTTGGCTCACGGAAGTCCATGAATGGTAGTAGTATCTAATGTGGGCGGTATATATCCAGTGCATCGCTCCTTTGTTATTCGGTCTGCTCTGACTGTCGCCGTTGTTCCAGTCCGTGCTGCATCCAGTTGTTGTACTGGTAGTCTTGATTGATGTTCGTGTCGATCCCGCGGATCTTAGTAGGGGGGTGGTAGTTGAAGGTCGCGCCCATTGGTTGCGGCAGGTGTAGAGTGAATGTGGGCTGTATCGTGTGGACTGACGGAGTGACCGGTACCATTTGGTGCTGCGGATACATGTTCTTGATTGACGTAGGTGATAGCTCTCTTATTTCGTGGGGGCCATTTTGGGTTTGTTGGTCTCGTTGCTAGTAGCTCGTAGTTAGTCGGAGGTATTGTGGGCTGCCGTGGTGATGGTCGGAGTCGTACGGTATCTGACCACTGGTTGAGTTGCCCGCTGATGTAGTCGGGTGCTGTTTTGAGCTCTACGTAGCTTGGTTGATCACGTGCTGTCGGTGGTGTGCTGTACTTGTGCGTCCTGTCTATGATCAATGTTGCCCATTGTGGGTGTAGTGTTGCAGCTCCAGAGGTGTGTAGCGCGTCGGCAAGTAGATTGGTAAACGACAGTAGCTCCGAGCCGGTCGATATATGGTCGAGGGTTTGGGCCCCCCCCCTCAATGCTAATGCCATCGGGCCCCCTCCCCCCGCGCGATGTTCCCCCCCCCCCTTCCCCCTGTAGATGTGGTGTGGGTGTGGTGTGTTGCTGTGGGTGTGTGTGGGGTG